ATTCAGTTTTAGTCACAGATTTTTTTTTTGATTTTTTTTTACCTGGATTATGAAATTTGGCTTTCTGTTCACCACAATTTGCTCTTTAGCAAAGAAACAGTAATGTAACTTAATAAATGTAGAATTGTTGAATATTGTCACTCGAGCAGCAATCGAGAAAACAGCTCAACTCAGAGGTCATATCAGCTAGATAAAAATCCAATTTAAAGTTTCAGTTCCATACCGCCTAACATTTGTAGATAAGGGATGAGAAAGGCTAGACGGGCCATGGGGGGGCATCACTGGTGGCACCTATACTGGGATGGCCTGCTCAGAAAGTGTGTGTCAGTCTGGCATCAAGCATACCTGGCTGACTGGATGGCTGTCCATCAACATACAGGACCATGTGGAGCGCCGCTGGAGCATTCTCTACATGGTCCTATTGACTGTTCACAGCACATGTACGCCTAATGATGCTCTCTCGCTGTGCTGTCTGAGGACAGTTGCTTGGTGTCCCCAAATACAGGGCACCAGGGAACATAATCTGAACCCTAAAATAGGGACTGTCCCACTGAAATCTAGAACAGTAACAGCAGTGTTTCAGTGTACAGTCTTGCCCGTGTAAGTGGACTAATGTTTTTTTGAGTTTTGCATCAGTAAACCATGCCTTAAAGAGCACGAAAGAATCACACAGGATAGTTCCTGAGCAAACCATGGCAATGTTAAGGGTTTAAGTAAAGCACCCACGGTTACTGATCACACCATGGCAGCATTACGTGTAAGCGTTAGTTAAAGGACCACTATAGGCACCCAGACCACTTCAGCTTAATGAAGTAGTTTGGGTGCCAGGTCCATCTAGGATTAACCCTGCCTGCTGTAAACATAGCAGTTTCAGAGAAACTGCTATGTTTACATATGGGTTGATCCAGCCTCTAGTGGCTGTCTCATTGACAGCCGCTAGAGGGCTTCCGCGCTTCTCACTGTGATTTTCACAGTGAGAAGACGCCAGTGTCCATAGGAAAGCATTGAGAATGCTTTCCTATGGACTGACTGAATGCGCGTGCGGCTCTTGCCGCGCATGCGCATTCAGCCGATGATGTCGGAAGGAGGAGGAGAGTCCCCAGTGCCGAGGGAGCCCGGCGTGGGGAAAGGTAAGCCTTTAACCCCTTACTCCCCCTAGAGCCCGGCGGGAGGGGGGCCATGAGGGTGGGGGGACCTATTAACACTATATTGCCAGGAAAACATGTTTGTTTTCCTGGCACTATAGTGGTCCTTTAATACTGTCATGGTGATTGATTAGGAATTGAAAATTACAGTAAGTATGTAAGCTATTTTCCTTATACACCATAAGTGTGAATTTTACATTTTAATAGGAAACTAGAGTTCCAAAAATAATATATATTATCAGGACTATGAGTTCTCTGCCATTATAGTGACCTCTGCCCCCCTTTTCCTTATAATGCTAATAATCCTTCACGTTTCCAGTAATGAATTCTCAGTCTGTGTATCGCCCAATTCGCCTTCTGTTTCATCTTCTCGTCCAATCCAATGCATTGTGGGTGAGAAGCACAGCATTCCTCCAATCAACTATTTCTATATGAGATGCACTGAATCAAATCCAGCTCCATGAGAAGCATTAGAGGACATTTGATGATTCAGTTGTGGGTGCAGAAGCACAATCTAGTGGCTGTCAGTGTAACAGCCACTAGAGGTAAGTTTAGCCCTGCAACGTAAACTTTGTTACAGCTCCAAAACTGCTTTGTATTACATCGCACAACCAAAATGGCAGGGCCATCGCACCCAGACCACGTCACTGAAATGAACTAGTTAGGATTCCTATAGTAGTTCTTTAAGTTAAAATAACAAAAGTGGAGAAGTAGCAAAATTTTACAAGGACAATTGTGGCCTAAAAATGTAAATTCACTTTCAATTCCTAACACTTCCCACTTTAGTTTATAAACACATTTACTGTAGAATATACACATTACTGTGAGTTTTCTTAGTGTTGAGCTCTGTGATTTGCTCGCACTGTGCAATACGAAGTTGTATTGATGTGGAGCTCTGTGACATTCATGCACGTTACTTTGAGCTTTATTGCAGTGGAGCTCTGTGATATACTCATATACACTGCACGTTACTGAGATATTAAATAAAGAAAAATTCCCAAAAGGCTGCTTTACTAGAATGCAGCCAATAGGAAAATACGCTGTATTGGTACATTTGATGCAGGGTGGGACACCATGCAAAATGTGTTCCAAAAATTCTGGCCTATTTTACAGTCTGATAGACACCTAAAGGATATATTGCCATCTTTCCCTTCGATTACAGCACGGAGGGGTAAGAATCTGAGAGATTTGCTAGCGCCAAGCCATCTCTCGATTACACCTTCATTGGGGTATTTTCATAAATATCTACCAACAGGCACGTTTCAATGTGGTCATTGCAGTGCCTGCCCATTTATCAATAGACACTCCAAGACGTTTTCTGATAGTGGGGATAGGGAGAAATTTAAACCCCACTCTTTCTTTAACTGTCATACAACTGGGGTAATTTACCTATTGACTTGCTCCTGCGGTTTGAAATATGTGGGCAAGACTTTTCGTCATTTCAGACTCAGGATACGAGAACATGTAAATTCTGTCAGGAGACACTTGGAGACACCAGTCTCTAGACATTTACATTTACATCACAATCATTCCTCAGCAGGTATCCGGTTTATGGGTCTGGAACATATACCACAACCACCGCGAAAAGGAAACTGGGATCAGAGATTAAGACAAAGAGAGGCCTTTTGGATTTATCGCCTCAAAACTCTGTCCCCACTTGGGTTGAATGAAGGGTTTTCTTACTCCCCGTTCATTTAATAGTATGGCAATACCTTTAAGGTATCTCTTGTTAAGTTTGTACATATGTATATATACTCTTTATTAGTTTTTTATATATTAGGTTGCTACCCCTTTATTGCCCTTTTTCCCTTCTTACTTCTACACCCATTTATTACCCTCATTCTCACATCATATTAAGGTGTCTTATTCTATATGCCATGGATTTTGGTTGTATTTGTGCTGTTAAAGTACAGTGTCTGTTCATAGATACACTTATAATATAATATAATACATCCTAGTGGCAACATAGTACTTAAATTAGACACCGTTACTCATTTGCTTTGTAGACCTTGTTTGAATATGTACTGAACTCAAACATGGACACATTGGCAACATCTTAACCTTTTTTCAGCGGCAACTTCCTGTTTAGACATTGTTAATTATTTTGCTTTTTCTGACCTTTTAACCTAAATGATCCATTTTTTCGTTTGGGATCATTTGGGGTTTGTCATTGGGTCAGATGGTATTGTCCCAGTTTTATTTGCCCCTGATTGTGAAGAGATGCCCTATGTGGATGATGTTTGTGGGACATGAGGGGTTAAACTACTGAACCGGCTTTTTTGATTACTCCGGCCGCTCACGGTTTCTCTCTTGTGAGCGGCGACGTGTATACCACGCCCCCACAATCTTATTGGTGTAGCGACCGGAGAGACTGAATACCCATTGATTGGGTGCCGGCATTTGTGTCCCGCCCCTCTAATGATACTATTGGTGCGGTGACCTAATTACAGGAGGTACTCATTGGCCGCCGCTCAGGTGTAAGAGAATTAGTATGGGTATAAATTACAGGGCAGGGATGGCTTCTTTTTGCAATACCCCTGAGGACGGCGTGTAGTTTCGCCGAAACGCGTGTTGGGTTTTTTGTTTTTGCACCAACGAGCACTGGGCACATTATTGATTTGACTATGGTCTAGGTTTAGATTACAGATTAGAACACCCACGAAGGTGTTGTTTAGGAGATAGTGTATTAGCTTAGAGTGTCGTCTCTACCTTAGGAGTGTCCTTTCGATTTGGGAAGGTATTAAGGAGGGGGGAGGCTTTGATCTTGAGTATTGGTATATTTTTTGGTTCCCTTTATGTTACAATAGGGGCATTTTTTCCTCCCCTTTTTTGAGTTGCCTAATACTATATACCATATATGCAGCCTCTCTCTCCTATCAAGGTTACCTATGTTGCTATTCACTAAGGTATATGCTATACAAGCTTAATTCACTGCCTTTTTTCCTTTTGGCAGTTTGGCAGGCTTTTGTATATATGTTATATACCCCTCCTAGTACTAGACCTTAGACCTTTTTGGTCATTTTTTATCCTAATAAAGTTTTATTTTTTTGACATTATTTATACTATTCTTTTTGAGATTGGACTGGGTTCTTTTCCTATTGGCTGCATTCTAGTAAAGCAGCCTTTTGGGAATTTTTCTTTATTTATTATCTCTTGGGTTATCCCCTATTCCCCAGTTTAGGTGACCATACTTACCCAGGGGAAGGGAGGGGGGAAGGGGATTTTGTCTCTGTCCCTACCTTCCGGTACCCTGTGTATGTCCTTTCTATATTTTTTCGTTACTGAGATATACTCATACACTGCACATTATTGTGCATTTTCATATTGCCCTTAATTTCAACCAGAATGCTATGTGTTCAACCTCCCTGCTGCATGGATAGTCACATCATTGTGTTAATAGGATATTGATGTTTTTATAATGAATGTGCAGGTATGCTCTGTGCTCTCTACTAGTTTTATACTTTTGTCATTTTTCATCAAGGACCCGATATCATTGCAAGTCGCATTATGTTTGTGGTGAGTAAGGAACCCTTGTGCCAAGTTTTGTGTGCAACGTTAGCACTTACATATTTTTTGCATTCATTTCTGCTTTCAGACTGTCTTGTTATTCTGATTAGCCTGTAAGCTTGTACGATCAAGTTCTCCTTAACCCGGGGTAAGTCTTTTGTCACAATCACATATATGTTTATTCACTGTACATCTCATACATATATATTTATTAGAAAAGGGAATAATAGACTATAATGAGGCAAACTACACACTGCACTACACAGTTATAAATTGTTTCCTATTGCCTGCATCTAAAAAAATTAAAAAACTCTGAATAAAAGAATTGTTAAACAAATCACAAGTCCCCTTCCTAGTCCAATACTACATGGTGAACAGGCCACAAGAATCTACTGCCATCTACTGGTGTAGAATACAATTTAACTAAATCGACACAATGTCGCCAAACAGGTCGAACAACAGATGAGTGGATCAAGCTGTGCTGTCTTATTAAAGTAACGAACGTCATTGTGATTAAGCCTTTGTTTCAAATTAAATGTATGGGTGTTGGCAACTTGTGCAGAATGTTCCACAATAAGCTACTTTTAAAACAGTCCCAGTGCCAAATTAAATGAACACTATAGACACCGGAACCACTACAGCTTAATGACCCTGCAGTGTTAGCACGATAAATTGCTGGCTGGTAACCGCTCTAGTGGGAGTCATTGACGGCCACTAGAGGTGCCTCGTGGGTGCAGCACTGGGGTTCAGTATCGCCACGCTTTGCATGAAGACGCTGGACGTTCTTTATAGAGATACATTGATTCCATACATCTCTATGAGGAGAAGCGGATTAGCACAGTTTTTTTTCAGCACATGGGCAAAAGCCTTCCAATGCTTTTCTATGGAAAGCATGGGATTGTCTGTAATCATCAAGATTGACAATCTTAGCCAGATGCAGCGAGACCTGTGCGTCATGGGAGAAACGGTGAGTAAAATCACCTTTTTACTGCGATCGGCGAGGGATTGGTAGCCTAAACAGGCACTTCAAGATTATAGTGTCAGGAATACATGTTTGTACCCTGTGAGTTATAGCCTGGATATCTCTGCCTCTTTGGAGAAACATTTACTAGAAGAATAAATCTCAGACATTCTAGAGTCTAAATCGATGCACTGTAAGAGCTGTGACAGAGTATAACTGCCTGCAGTCTACTGCTCTCATCTATCAATCCACAGCACACACGGATGTACCATCAATATACCATCAGCATAGCCTTGTAGACAGGGCCGCCATCAGAAATTGTGGGGCCTCTAACAGCTCAAGGTCTAGGGCCCTGGGCCTCCAAATCCCACCCACAGGAATACACACATGGCGCGCGAGGGAGCTGAGCAGAGTGCTAACTAATCAGTGCTCCCTCGCCAGAGCTGCCCACCCACCGCCCCCCTCCCCCAGCATTCCCAAAGGTAAGGAGGCTGGGGGGGTTGAATTAAAAAAAAAAGTGTGTTAATGTGAGTGTCTGTTAGTGAGGGAGTGTCTGTTAGTGTGGGTGTATGTCAGGGAGTGTGTTACTATGTGTGTGTTAGTGACAGTGTATGCGTGTCTGTTAGTGAATGTGTGTGTCTGCTAGGGACTGTATGTGTCTGTTAGTGAGTGTGTATGTCTGTTAGCTAGTGTATGCGTGTCAGTGAGTGTGTATGTGTGTGTGTATTTAGAAGGCGGGGTGCGGGGCGACAGCACCTGATAGGGGGCTGTTATTGAGAAATGAACGGTGCAATGTTGCAATGCTTTCCTATGGAGTTTTACAGACACTGCATGTCCAACGTCAGTTATATGATCACTAAATGACAGCTACTAGAGGCAGTCGGAACCCAGCAATGTAAAACTGCAATAATTAAAATTGCAGGGTTAAGGGGACAGGGACATTGTACTCAGACACTTCAATGAGCTGGAGTGATCTGAGTGCCTATACTGTCCATTTAAGTTTCATGTCTGGAATAAATAGTCACTATACGGACATTTCAGAGTTAATTAACCCCTTAAATGAAAATGCAGCCGGAATCCTTGATAACACACAGGTCCCTGTGCCTACAAGACTGTGGAGTAAATTGGTTTGTACTTCAAGCAGCTTTAATCAGCATCTTGACCCCTTCCAACCCTCAGAGGAGAATCATGGTAAATCTAGAAGGTAGGGGGAAGATGAGGCCTCTGTCGCAGGTACATTCATTGGGCTAGCAAATCTGAAACGTGAATGCCGGTATGCATTAAAAAAATAAAAATCAATGCTTTAAATTAGACAATATTCACTACACGGTAAAGAAACTGAATTTCAAAATGTAAACTAAAAGTAGCTACATATAGACTGAACTGAAGTTGCTTGCCAAATCGGCTATTTTGGTAATATTTTTCAATTCCAGGCTAGAAAATAAACCCCATTGTGTCGAAGTTTGAGTAAATAATTTGTGACAAGAGAAAGGGGTATTTTGGATCAGTATGTAATATAATTTACAGCGACAGTTCAGTCTCCCTGAAGCACCATCACAACTTCATGTACGTGGAGGCAACTTTGGGGTTAAACCATTCGAGGACAGTTTAACCCCCTAAGGTAAGAGTGTGTCCAAGGGCATCCTGGCACCATAACTTTTAGATGAAGTTGTTATAGTGCCTGGAGAGTTCCTTTAAGTCATAAGCCAGGTAACAAGATGGCTTCTTTCTACGACAGAACATCAAGAAATATCTGGATTTATTATATTTAAGCAACAATTTGCCAAAACAAACACAAAACACATTGTAAAGTATAAATTAAATGAAAAGGTCACAAATATTTATTATTATACCAATACTACACACTACAATATTACTTTTTGCATAAAACTAATGGTTGTCTTTCATTTTTTTTTTTGTATGCTTTTTAAATCCACATCAATTGCATCACATACGATACATGACAAAATTCCTGAAATGTTAGAATTTGTGTTGGAAAAAAAATGAAAAGAATTCTGATGTGTACATTAGCTTCAACTAGTAAATAACTCCGGCCAGCACAAGCCATATCAATGCTGTACCTATACAATCTCTGTGCAAACAGTATCAAATGGGGTTGGGGACTAAATCAACTAAAAATCAAAAAGAATTTTCTAAAAGATGATACAGAAATTGGAGAAAGGAAAAATGGATTTCAGCACATCGGCACTGTTTAAATAAGGCATTTATCAACATGGGAAAAAATATATCCCTATAGAATTGCCAATCCCTACATTTTAAGTACGTCTGCTGGCGGAGAAATTTAAAGACTGCGTTGGTGAAATATTTCTCTCCATGGCAGGTAAATCCAAGAGAAATGGACGTTTTAGGTGTTTTGGCTTCCTTCTAATGCATGACGATTCCCAATGCAGAGACTAAAAGATTTGCAAGAAAAAAAGAAATAGATTTTTTCCCCCCATGTTTTCTACTTTTTCTTAATTTAAATAAGCAGGAGGATGGGATGTTTCAGGAGTTATCAGACGGCACATGTTCTTCAAAACCCTCGCTTTCGCGCACCAAAGCTCGCTCCAAGATAACTCTGCCCTCTTTGTAGCGCTGGCTGTCTTCTGTGGCAAACTCATAAATCCATCCCAGTTTGCTGTTGCAGTTCTTACAGCTGACATCACGCACCATGTGTCGTCCAGTGAGCATGACGCGATCCTGGACTTCGCTGTACTGCAAGTTAACCACCTAGAAGGTAAGAAAAATACACATTATTTGAACACAAACTATTTAATATATGATTGAATTAGTAAATACAGAACATTGTAAAGTGCTGCGGAATTAGTTGGCGCTATATAAATACCAATAATAACATATAGGAACTGTTATTAGCATTTATTAAGCGCCAATATAGTCAGAGTTCGTTACAATTAAAGAAAGGTGTGCGCGGCACAAACTAAAAGTCTATGGTGAGTGGATATAGATCATTAGGTGTCGTGCCCAGGGGTCAGACCAGGATTCAGATTTGAGATTTCCAGTTCTAAGTGATATTATCACTGCTATAGCAAAACGAGGGAATAAATAGAAATATGGCGTAGCAGGATGGCACATGTGATTGTTGGGAGCAATGGGCAAGCACCTCCCATTCATGGCAACCATCTTGAAGGAACTAAAAGAGCTCTTTAGTTAGATAATATTGTATCAATTAAAATTTTACAGCTTAGAACCCCCTACCTTCCTGAAGCAAATACAAATTTCATGAATGATCAGCTCACTTTAAGAGAGGAAATACATGTTAATAGAGCTCAGAAAATCTTCAATAGTTCTAAAGATAGATGTTAATTAGGTATGGTAAAACACCATTCCCTCTTTTATTTCACTGCAAATCAAGGAAAGTGGTTGATTAAAGGTTTACTCAAAGAAAAAAAAAATGTAAGGCCTCTCTTCCATCGCGGAGGCCAATTTCTCCCCCCAGCTCAATCCTCCATGGCTGATGTCACTCCACCTTGTTCGTTGTGGGCAGGATGTCAGGGTGATTGACGGAGGGTAGCATAGGGGGCAGTACCAATGCAAGGCAGGGGCTATGCTGCTATCGGGGCTGGCTTCAGATGCCAGTTTTGCACAGAATAGACATTAGGCAGCTAATGAGGCTAATTGAGTTACACCCCTAGCAGTGAAGAAGTTAATCTCTGTATGTGCAGTGTTTCGGATCAGGAACCATGACCACTTTAAATCACTGAAATAGTGATTGTGCTTTCAATAACCCTTCAAGACAGTAATCTTTTCAGGTATCACCATATAAAGATCTTGGTCTGAGGGAGAATACTTGCTTGTATGGAATGGATTCACCATAAATGTAACAGCATTTCCTGTCACTGGCACAGCTGGAGTGGATACGCAGCACCATAACCACTACAGCCAAGTGTACAAGTTATTATCCAGGTTATGGCTCACAGAGTCTATGGGCACCGGTCACACTGTTTTTAGCAAACTGTTTTAAGCTGCAAACATTGAAAATGTACAATTCCACATGACTAATATCAATTCATCCAGCCTGAATGACGATGACTGGCTGAGAGTACTGGGAGAGGGCTAGCAACAGTGAGATTGGTTTTAAAATATCTGTAAGAAATTTAAATATTCTGCCACGGTAAGAGTAAGCATTAGAGCTTGGCTATCATTGCAAGGTAAAAGGGAGAAGTTGGGGAGTTATTTAGAGTTAGAAGGGCTTAGGGTCACAGGTGACACTTACCTGGTCTGTACCATGGAAATTGGAGCACAGTTTGGTTGCTTTTCGTCTGCCTATGCAACTTAAATAACCAAAATGTATCTTTTGTGAATAGTCAAATAGGTCTCAACTGAAAGCGGTTGAAACAGCCACACTGAGTAACAAAATTCCATTTGGCAGTTAGTGAACGGATGTCATCAGCCGCTGGAGTAAGATCAGTTAATCATGGCGGTGCCTTTTGAATTTTACTGCTGATTGAAAGTAAGGGACAACGCCCCTCCCCCATTATCGTAAGTATCATGACATAGCAATGGTCCTGAATGGGTTAACGTGTCTGTTCTGTACAATGAGAGCTGTACCTTGTTGAACAAAAACGCCCTCCCTGTTGCGCCTGTAAAGCGAGTTGATATCAGCTCAGAGCGGTTGGTCAATATCGTATCGCAGTTGGCGCAGGAAAATAGGCGGGTGCCACCAATATGATCCAAAAATATACGGCCCATCTTCCCGACGTCCGAAAATCTGAAAACGAGAACAAATAAACGCAGAGAAATTAAGTACATTTAACATCTGCATAGCAAACATGTTTGTAGTTTATTAGCCATAAAATTACGTTAATTTTCAGTAAAATAGTGTATTTTCTATAGCTGCAGTGATTTGTAACAAACATTTCTGTATTGGAGTTGTGCATATATACCATGCATTTATGTTTTTTGGTGTATTAGTCTACGGCTTATGGTTTGTAGTGGACTGAAACCGGATTTGTAAAAAATTAGGCTAAAAAGATAGCTAGATTGGCCTAGATTTTGCAATTCCAGCATTCAGTTGACACAATTTCACTTGTGAGTGGAAGCACATCTGGGGGCAGCAGGTAATTCCCGGTTGGGCACTCTCTAGTCCCAGGGGCCGGTTAGGGAGAGCACAGTCTTAAGGCAAGCCATACGTGCCATCTCGGGCCAGCGGTGTTCATCACCTGTGACACTGAATTCAGTGGCTCTGACTAATCCACTCATGGGGAACTGCAAAAGATCAGTAAATGTTAGCTGCCCTCCTGGAGAAGGTAGACAATGCTCACAAGCCAGACTGAAGGCCACAAACACCGCCATCCGGGACGAAGGCTGAATAAACTATTAAGTTTGGTTTTGACAATGAGCAGACCTCATCGTGCAAGTGTACATTTAATGTATATACACTGCAACATTTGCACAATATATACATTACATTTTAAAACCGACCAGAAGCTCACATACAGAACTTTATAAAATCTTTTTAGAACAGGATTTTATTAATTCATTTCCTAGTGTGGACCTTGTTAACTATTCCCCGCTGTCTAATAAAAGCTGAATAATGTGTCTATTCTGGGTTACAAGTGTCACTGAATGAGGATAGTGATTAGTTCCCACTGTTTAACTAGTGCGCCAAAAAAAAAAAACACCCCAAAAAAACAACAGAGATCAGTATCAAAGTTAGTTCTATGATTTAAGAGAACAAGTTGGGTATGGCAGGGATGGGCAATGATAAAATGACGAGGATGAAGTAGAGGCACAATGAAGACAGTGTGTGACTTTACGTGCTTTGAATTTGAATGGGGAAAACCAGTACAGTCAGTACTTTTCCATCAGATATGGGACTATTGGTAGTCGTAATATTCAAGAAAATAAAAAATTTAAAAAAATTGCAGCTAAATGACTACATAAAGATGCAGTGTGTAAAACCACATTGTCCCATACAGGAAAGTGTTCCTTGTCACCTTGACCCCGAAAAACAAAATGTGATTAGAATGAAGAATGAGACTGACTGTTAGAACAGCAGTTGTATTACGGTATGCTTCAAAATACCAAAATAAAATATCACATTACTTACATCACTTTTATTAAGTATGGTGAGAAAGTATATTATATAGATTACACATTACAAATATAAACAAAAAAAACAAATTCAAAATAATAAAAAGATACCCACATTTGAAGTTCCTCCATTTCCTGTAAACCCTCACACTGTGCAAACTCTTTAGTGAGATCAAAGCAGATAGTAAGCCAATTCTGATTCTCAACTTTCTAGAACACTGCATATAACATTATATAAGCAGTGCTTTTATGGGCACAGCAAAGGATTCTGGAAGTGTAGCTCAGAAGGGAAACTCTAGGCACCACAACCACTACAGCTTAATGTAGTGGTTCGAGGGCAAATAACATGTCCCTGCTTGCTCACTAGTGTAAACGTGGCTACCTAATGCCACTTGTAATGGCTGTCACTCAGACAGCCACCAAAGGAAATTCCTGGATGAGGTCCTGCAAAGATTGCAGGACCGAATCAATGCATCTTTATAAGAAAATGCTGATTGGTACAGCACATCTAAAGATACACATGCGCATTAGCCTCACAAAGCTTCCTTACAGGGAAGCATTGGATTGGTTGAGATCGTCAGGATTGATAATATCAGCCAGCGAAGGTGGGGCCGGATATCAAATAGTTATATTAACACTCTAGCATTAGAAATACAGGTTTGTATTCTTAATGCCACAGCGTTCCTTTAATTGTCAGATTTCTAGTGACTCCTTGATATTATGTAAAGTACTACAGGTTAGTAGGGGGACATGCTTATAGTGGAAAACCGAAAAATGGTTAAAAAAAAGTAAGCAAAAAAAAAAAAATTTAAAAAAAATCACCCAGCACTAATTGTACCCTAATCAGTGGCAACCAACCAGCCCTCAAAGTGCACCAACAATTCAGGATTTAGACATTTTAAAATTTTATTCCAGTTGAGATAAGGACAAAACCTGAATCATCGGTGTGTCTTGCAGACTTGACTGGGTGATACTCATTCAACCTATGGGTTACACCAAACTTGTGGGTGCTTAGAGGGTGGAAGATAAAGGGAGGTCTTAAAAATGTGAACTGTTTCTGCTACAAAATCAAGCTGATCTCTCTATTATAGTCATGAATTCAAGGACCCTGCTTACTGGAGATGAATATGGACTATCACCAAGGTTATCAGATCTGGCTGGAGTGTTGTTTCTTTGACTACGACGGGCAGTGAAACCCCCAATGTTCCAAATGTGTTACGTAACCGTTTAACAGCTACGCACCCAATATGTCTGTAATTTAGCATTGAAGGATCACTATAGCATTGTGAATATGAACATGTATTCCTAGTGTTATACGAAGTTGGATTATTGGAACAAAAAGCTTTTTACTTACCTTTACTACCTCCAGATAATTTCAGCAAATGCAATGTCTTCCCATAGGAAAGCATTGGAAGGCTAGTTTGTATGCGCAGCAAATCGACTCGCTGTGCTAATCATCATCTCAGAGAAGCATCGAGTCATGTACCTCTGTGCGGAGCATTCGGCGTCTCCATGCAGAGTTTGGAGACTTTAAATCTCAGTTCTGCAATCTTTACAGGACTGAATCCAGGAAGCCCCTCTAGTAGTGGCATTAGGCAACAATTTTTCTCAAAGAAATGCACTGGTTAAATGCCCCAGAACCACTACATTAAAGGAACAGTGTATTTACTATAACAACGTAGTCTAAATGGGAGACAGAACTAGAATAATTAAAAAAAAAAAAAAAAGTGTTAGTGCTGAAAGACAAAGACCGATACATATGTGTATCTTCAATTACAAGGATATACATGGGAAAACAGCTGGTAGGTCTGTTCTGTTAATTTGGCAGAAGGTGATGTGAATGGGTGACATTAGTGGCAGATGAGTACTGCTTACTGTGTTTAACATTGGAGGGATGACTGGTCGATGCTGTGCACACAGCTCTTCGGGCAACTAAAGGGGAGGGAAGAAAGGTCAGCTTTATAACTGGTCTGGGGTCTAAATCTCGCTCTTTCATACATCATTCAGTATATCTGTTAGATTGTAAGCTCATTCGCATAGGGCCCTCTTCATGAGTTCCAGTATGTCAATCATGTTTTGATATAATGTAGAGTTTTTGTTTTGCTTACCTATTGTACAGTGCTGTGGAGTATGTTGGCGCTACATAAATAATTGTAATTATATATCAAAGGTGATTCTACATTGGAAGCAGACAATGTCCTGGGCAACTGTCAACCTGGATATCTATACAGATTCCTATAATTATTAGTATTTAAACAGTGCCAACCTATACTGCGGTGCTGAACAATAAAATGGAGCCTAATAAATTAAAAATATAAACTGTACGGAAATTTTTTTTAACTTGATAAAGAATCGTTTGATCTTAATTTAAGGTAACATGGCTTAAGAACGCTGAAATATTTAGAATTGTAAAATGACCATGAAAAAGCAGGAATATTGTCCTATATTAACGTGGTTACAGAGCTCTGAGTTTTCAGTTTGCTTGTTTTCATCTGTACGGTCATTGTCTCCTGTCCCCAACATAAACACAGCTTGTCAGCGCCCCTCCTCCTCCTGGCTCAATAGATAACACTAAAACAGCTGATTACAGACACTCTCTCTGTAAGATCCTCCCTAGGTATAACCCTTTCCCCAGACAGCCAATCAGCTGGCTGCAAGCAGGATAAAGGAAGCACCCTCCCAGGAAGGTGACAAAAAAAAACAACAACATACAAAAACACAGGCAGAGCCAGCAGGGCGTCCGCAATGTACACACTAAGTAATCAGGAATTTATTCTGGAAGAAAGTAAAGCCATCTATTAACCCTTGGACTACCAGGAGCGGTTTTCTCATCCCTGATGCAATTAAGAGAAATAAACAGAATTGTACAAGAAAATGCATGAAACAAACTCTTTTGGGGAAAAGAGATTTAGGTTATCAATTATTTAATTTTAAGTCTCTCCCCATGTAATAAATAAAAAAAAAAAGCTGCATTAATAGACTTATTATCACTGGAATTTTTAAAGCACCAACCTATTCCACAGCGCTGTACAATCAGGGAAGAGACACACATTGCAGTATAGACAAACCAATACAAAACGGAATAGACGATTCTGCCTGCGAGCAGAGTACTAGCATTAACAGCTTTTTTTATACAAAGAAATGGCTTAAGAGGTTAAGGAAATTTCCAGACATGTCTTCGCAGGGTTTCTAGAGTTGCCTAAACAGCTGGTCAATAGTTAAAAAGTGCTGCCCTTCTTGTAACATCCTGGTCCCATAATTCAGGCATCACAGCTGTGCCACTAGTAGTAAAAACCCACGCCAGTGACCGTAAAGGGTATGGCCAATGACCGTTACCAGTAAAGCCGCAGGCCAGGGACGGCCACCGCCAGTACAGACGCAGGCCGACAGCCAAGGCGCAGGCCAGGGACGGCCACCGCCGGTACAGACGCAGGCCAGGGACGGCCACCGCCGGTACAGACGCAGGCCAGGGACGGCCACCGCCGGTACAGACGCAGGCCAGGGACGGCCACCGCCGGTACAGACGCAGGCCAGGGACGGCCACCGCCGGTACAGACGCAGGCCAGGGATGGCCACCGCCGGTACAGGCGCAGGCCAGGGACGGCCATACAGACCCCAGACAGTGGCCAAAGCAATGTGACTTCCTGGTCAGATATAAGTGGCTACAATGCAGGTTGATTTAGTGATACTATATAACAGGGGCCAGGCACTGAGTGACCTCACACATGACGTCACTGCTGTGCCTGGGGCTGTCCAGCCGGGCCATATCTCCTGTTACGGCCTATCCCTGAGCAGCTGTCACCCTCCTCCCCCCCATACACTGCCGCTATGGAACCCCCACATACAGCCAGGTGAGCCTGTCAGTTGCCCCGGTTACCCGCGGTCCGGTTGCCTGGAGACGGTGGAACGTTCTCTCGGCCGGGGTTCGGCGGCGGCTCTGCCTGATTCTGGGACTCGGCTGGGAAACTGCTGCACGCCCCGCCCACTTCCCTACAGAACCATCAATCAACTAGCGCCACGCCCCCTTCCACGCTCTGCCGCAGCTGGGCGGTGTGACGTCACGTAACCCTCCCCCAAAACCCAGCGGCACAACATTCCAGCCACGTGGGCTCTTTAAATACAGCGACTGATGGAATGTTACAGAACCCTGTGTGATATACATTGTATCAGTCTATAACATATATAATAATAATAATATACATTGTATCAGTCTATAACATATAATAATAATAATAATATACATTGTATCAGTCTATAACATATATAATAATAATAATATACATTGTGTCAGTATATAACATATGTAATTATAATAATAATATACATTGTATCAGTGTATAACATATATAATAATAATAATATACATTGTATCAGTCTATAACATATAATAATAATAATAATATACATTGTGTCAGTATATAACATATATAATTATAATAATAATATACATTGTATCAGTCTATAACATATATAATAATATACATTGTATCAGTGTATAACATATATATAATAATATACATGTATCAGTGTATAACATATATAATAATAATATACATGTGTAATAATAATATATATTTTATCACTATATAACCTGTGTAATAATATTCATTGTATCAGTTTATAACATATATATAATAATAATATACTATGTATCAGTGTATATATATATAACCTATGTAATAATATACTATGTAGCAGTGTATACCCTGTGTAATAATATACTATATATCACTATATACCCTGTGTAATAATAATATATATTGTATCACTATATAACCTGTGTAATAATAATATATTGTATCAGTGTATAACCTGTGTAATAATATACATTATATCAGTGTATACCCTGTGTAAAAATATACATTGTATCAGTTTATACCCTGTGTAATAATAATATACATTGTATCAATGTATACCCTGTGTAATATTATACATTGTATCAATGTATACCCTGTGTAATAATAATATATATTGTATCAGTGTAGCCCTGTGTAATAATAATATATATTGTATCACTATATAACCTGTGTAATATATATATATATACTTATATATTGTATCAGTATATAACCTGTGTAATAATATACATTGTATCATTATGTACCCTGTGTAATAATATACATTGTATCACTATAATAACCTGTGTAATAATATACATTGTATCAGTTTATAGCCTGTGTAATAATAATATACATTGTATCAATGTATACCCTGTGTAATAATTTACATTGTATCAATGTATACCCTGTGTAATAATAATATATATTGTATCATTGTATGCCCTGTGTAATAATAATATATATTGTATCACTATATAACCTGTGTAATATATATATATATATATATATATATATATACTTATACATTGTATCACTATAATAACCTGTGTAATAATATAAATTGTATCAGTTTATAGCCTGTGTAATAATATATATTGTATCAGTGCATAGCCTGTGTAATAATATACATTGTATCACTATATACCCTGTGTAGTAATAATAATATACATTGTATCACTATATACCCTGTGTAGTAATAATAATAATATATATTGTATCACTATATAACCTGTGTAATAACAATATATATTGTATCAGTATATACCCTCTGTAATCATAATATACTATGTATCACTATATAACCTGTATAATAATAATATACTATGTATCAGTGTATAACCTTTGTATTAATAATATACTATGTATCAGTGTATATATGCCCTGTGTAATAATATAATATGTATCAGTGTATAACCTGTATAATGATAATAATAATAATAATAATAATATACTATGTATCAGTGTAAAACCCATGTAATAATATACTATGTATCAGTGTATAGCCTGTGTAATAATAATATACTATGTATCAGTGTATAGCCTGTGTAATAACAATATACTATATAACCTGTATAATAATAATAATATACTATGTATCAGTGTATATATACCCTGTGTAATAATATAATATGTATCAGTGTATAACCTGTATAATAATAATAATAATAATAATAATAATAATATACTATGTATCAATGTGTAGAGCCTGTGTATTAATAATATACTATGTATCAGTGTATAGCCTGTATAATAATAATATACTATATAACCTGTATAATAATAAAAATATACTATGTATCACTATATAACCTGTATAATAATAATATACTATGTATCAGTGTATATATACCCTGTGTAATAATATAATATGTAGCAGTGTATAACCTGTATTATAATAATAATAATAATAATAATATACTATGTATCAGTGTATAACCTGTGTAATAATAATACACTAGGTATCAGTGTATAACCTGTGTAATAATAATACACTAGGTATCAGTGTTTCCTGGCCATTTCAATGGCAGCACAACAATCGGTAGCTCCTCCCCATCCCTAGTTAGACAGGAACTAATTAAAACAAGGGTATAAGTACCCCCTCCTACCCCTCCTACCATCAGTCTTTTTGTTCCTGTCCTATATCTAGGACAGATTAGTCTTTTCAGACTGAGAACTATTTTTTTTATGGCTTACTTTAAGGCTTTTTACCCTTGGCCCCAGGGAAGTTAAGCCTCTCTTCCTTGGGAAGCTCCAGTATACGGCCCTGTGCAAAGGTGTCCCCTGGAGGACCCCGCAGTGGCTGGGGGAAGCTTGCAGTGACCCTAGGGGTAGCAAGCATAAGGAGCCACTACCCTACTGACTGCAGTGACCCTAGGGGTAGCAAGCATAAGGAGCCACTACCCTACTGACTGCAGTGACCCTAGGGGTAGCAAGCATAAGGAGCCACTACCCTACTGACTGCAGTGACCCTAGGGGTAGCAAGCATAAGGAGCCACTACCCTACTGACTGCAGTGACCCTAGGGGTAGCAAGCATAAGGAGCCAATACCCTACTGACTGCAGTGACCCTAGGGGTAGCAAGCATAAGGAGCCACTACCCTACTGACTGCAGTGACCCTAGGGGTAGCAAGCATAAGGAGCCACTACCCTACTGACTGCAGTGACCCTAGGGGTAGCAAGCATAAGGAGCCACTACCCTACTGACTGCAGTGACCCTAGGGGTAGCAAGCATAAGGAGCCACTACCCTACTGACTGCAGTGACCCTAGGGGTAGCAAGCATAAGGAGCCAATACCCTACTGACTGCAGTGACCCTAGGGGTAGCAAGCATAAGGAGCCACTACCCTACTGACTGCAGTGACCCTGGGGGTAGCAGGTATGGGCAAGGCATAAACAGTATGGATATACCCCCTTCTTTTTGTATGATTTCACTTATTGATGTGCTAATACACTTGCATTACAAAATATTTTGAGTCCGTGTATTCTTTTCCCTCCCTTGGTTATTGCTTGGGTATTACCCATTGTTGTGCTGCCATGGATATGGCCAGGAAAGAGGAAAATTTATTCATACTTACCGTAATTTTCCTTTCCTGGTCATAGGCCATGGCAGCACAAAGATCCCGCCCAGGGATTTTGCTGGAATACAAGACTGAGGGTAGGAGGGGGTACTTATACCCTTGTTTTAATTAGTTCCTGTCTAACTAGGGATGGGGAGGAGCTACCCATTGTTGTGCTGCCATGGCCTATGACCAGGAAAATAAAATTATGGTAAATATGAATATATTTTCCTCTATAGCCTGTGTAATAATAATACACTATATAAACTGTATAATAATAATAATATACTATGTATCACCATATAACCTGTGTAATAATAATATACTATGTATTACTGTATACCCTGTATAATAATATACTAAGTATCAGTGTATACCCTGTGTAATGATAATATATATTGTATCATTATATAACCTGTGTAATAATAATATACTATGTATTACTGTATACCCTGTATAATAATATACTAAGTATCACCATATAACCTGTGTAATAATAATATACTATGTATTACTGTATATCCTGTATAATAATGTACTATACAATATCTCGGATGGTAGACGGTAGAACATCAAAAAGAAATGCAGTGCAGCAACACAATCCCAATTCCCCAATAACCGGACGATACACAGTTCTGGGAGTCAACAGATTTTTATTCTGCCACAGCTGGCTTTTATGCAACTCCCCATGCAAGGGTTTTCTTAATTTACACTCCAGGGGCTTTTCACTGGTGGACCTTGTGGGAGACAGGGGACAAAGTATACTATTATCTCCCTCCTCTGTACCTGGGAGATAATTGAGTAAGAACAACTCTTTAATTACATTATCTCCCAGGTACAGAAAATATACAATATTTCAAAACCCTCATAAAACATACTAATATTGTTCAGAACTCCACGAAAGATACTTCACCGAATAGCAGGGACCTGAGCGCCCACTCTGTCGAACTATCACTCAAATCCGTTCGGTAGATTAGGAACGCCATTCGAGTGAAGTTTAGTGAAGTCAACCACAAGGTGAAATCCCCAAGTTCCATAGGGTTTTAGGCTTTGACCGGTCTTTTTTCGGGAGTATCAACCATCGAAATAACGAATGGAACTGTTTGTGTTACGGGGGTCTTGTGCCCTGTGTTCGGTAGTTTATTCCATACGAATGCTGGTCTTTATAGGTGAATAGAAACGAACACACCAAGTGACCAAGTTTAGCGGGGTTTGCCCCGTCGAGTGTCCGATTATAGTTCCATGCACTGGACGACCAAACACCAGTGTCTGTGTTCGTGAACAAAGATGGCCGCCGCCACATGTTCGGTCATATGAACGACGGCCACCCATCCGACCACCTAGAACCTCGCAGTTTCTAAGTGTGAATACCGACAACTGGAGGCACACGACTCCCCTAGGTGGTTCCACTGTTCGGTAGATGGTTCAACACACAAACAATATAGCTTTAATCTGTTCGGGAACTTCAAATTGTCGAACCAACTAAGGCTTTAATACAAATAGGTGGCTGGTTCTGCCACAAATATACTATGTATCAATATATAACTTGTGCAATATAATATACTATGTATCAATATATAATAATATAATATACACTGTATGGAACGTTATAGAATCCTGTATGATATACA